GCATGTGAAGAAGAAAAATCGGTAATTTGTTTTCGTCATACACACACACACACACACACACAAACACGTCCAGATTTGAGTTAGAAAAACAAAGCTTGCTACACAACCCGCAATTGTGATAGATACCTTATGCAAATGCGCGTGTGGATGATTGATGATGTTGACGAGGAGGAATTGGAATTATAAATTGTAAATTGCACAAATCAAACCGTTGAGTTCAGAAAAAAAAGCCACTCCGTCTCTCTTGCATCTGGGTTACGAGACTTTGACCAATAGTGACTACATATCGATGGAGAGAGAGAGAGAGAGCAATTGAACAACCATGTGAAAATAGGATCGGCCCATCACTGTGGAGGATGCGCTGAGTGAACGCAGTTTGAAACAGATCGTGTGTTCACGCCAGTCGTGTGGCTCAACGCATAGGAGTAGTGAGTGGCGTATACAGCAAACGTCTGAGAATATTTCAGTTTCAGTTCAGTTTGTGCAACCATTAACCGTGCACTTTTGTGTGCCGATTTTGGCTGCTGTCTTTTGGCTGCCCATTTGGATGAAGAAGGAGAAGACAGGAAAGTTGAAGGTAGAGTCGAACAGAAAATGGAGAAATTCAGTGGTATAAGGTTGCAAAGAAATTGAGAAGATACAAGAACGCCACAGTTTACGACACTCATCCATATTATTCTGGGGATGTAAGGGGATTGAAAGGAAGAACTAGACAGACGGGAGAGAGAATTCTCCAAATGAGTGTCCAAGACTTTAGGGCACGACATAATTCACACCAGCCCACATCGACGCAGGGGTTTTTCTTCGGGAACCCTAACCGGAGCCTCTGACTCAAAAGTCTGACCCACAAGGCAGTGGGGCGTAGACCCAGGACGGGATCGTGAACGAAGCGCCCGACTGGGAGCTTCTAGAGACCTGTCACGCAAGGCCTTCGGTTTTCGGTTCAGTGTTTTGTTCGTTGGTGCGTTGTTGATTGTCGGTCCGCTGTTCGGGATTGATCCGTAATCTCATGCACACAATGAGACAAGTGGGACGTGGACGGGACGGCACCTTATTGGTTGCGGGTTGCTCAGCTCGGGCAAGTGGTAGCTGTCCAATGAAGTGCGAAGACTTCTCCCACCGTCGAGAGGAAGCTCCAGGTACCCCGCTCCTACGTCCATCTAGCGGGTTTTTTTTGACCGGTAAACTGCCCCTCACCGTGTTTATTTTCTGGAGTGGCTTCTCCAGGATAGAAGAAGGAAGCTAGGTGCCCAAGCAGCTGGCTTTGTGAGACCGAGCTTTGCTTGACCTCTACCCATTGACTTTTCAGGCATGATTGGATCTACGGCTGTGAAAAGCCATCCTGTGTAGCTCGCAGGATCATTGAGGCACGCAAGCCATCACGCCGCATCAAAGCGCAATCTCGTCGTGATAGTTGTACCGGAGAAAGCATTCCGTTCAATTCAGAAAGGTATCGAAAAACAACATATGTCACTTTCACCGATGCATCATCGTGACTCCCAACCAGATGAGAGAGATTGATGAACACCCACCGGGGGAGCCAAATCGCGAAAAAGGGTAAAAATTATGAGAACCTTTCAAATTTCAAAATATGTCCATATTCGTATTTAGATCACAATTTCAGGCGAACAGTTGTTATAATAATGTCGTTACAGTTTATAGGAGGGGGTTGGGAGGAGAACAATAAAATGTGACGCACCCTACGTCGACAGTTATTCATACGCACGAATGAACACTATCCGCGATGACTGAGTCATGCTGGTTCCAGAACTATCACAAGTGTGATTTTCGCCCGCTTGGAAGACACGGGTCATCGTGTGAAGCATTCTGTATTATTTAACAGGTTAACAGGTTGGTCATAGCCGAAGACATCTGTGTTGAACATCTGACCCCCTCGATTTATGTGCCCAGAAGCGTCTAATCCAACCAAGCTCTCCATCTGTCGTAGATTTGCGAACCCACCCCTCCCTCGGCCCACAGGCACACAAGCATTTTCACACAACAACACCGATCCGTCAAAACTGTATCAAACACGACAAAACGTGTCACATAGTTAAAAATCCCCGGAAGCACAGATCTGAGAATGTGGTGTGCACCACACAGACACACACACAAAAGTGATCGATTGCTCACATTTTACTTTTATACTCCCAACCCCTAGGTTTTATCCAATAATATAAAATATAATGACAAGATTATGAGCTATTGAAAACACTCGTTTGCCTGAAATTGTGCTCTAAATGTGAGTATGAGCACATTTCGATGTTTTTGAAACTATTGACGAGTGAATGAAGTTCAGAAACAGCAAACAGTTATGTGCAACCATCATACAAAACTGTCCACACAAGAGTTTAGATCGACTATTCTAAACGATTATCACAATTATCTGATCGGTTTAAGTAGATCAGTGAAAACTGAACGCTGTTTCAATATAAGTTAAGTGGTAGGGGATCAGCTGATTATTAATTCACCCAACAGAATTGACATTGAAGAGCTTTGATACAGTGGTTTCCAACTCATTGGATGTCCCTGAACGGCAGATGCTAATCGACTTTCTGTATTCGACAACCGATTTCTGCGAAGCATTGCTCGTGTCTGGTGGGAATCTCCGGTGAGCAATGATTTGTGTGTTGGGTGTGAATAGTGGCTATCCAGAAGAAATAATTACCACATCGCCTCCGATGAATTGGTCACGTTTTGTATATATGCACACCCATCGACTACCGTTTCGTGTGCTCTCTTTCTTTGCACGAGATGGACAAGGTTGGAAGAAACACCGCGACAGCCAGACCATGACATAACGTACAGGTATGAAGAAGCTAGAGAGAGAGATATGGCCCAGAATAGAAGTGAGTAGCACGAATGCTGTGTGATTTTCCGGTTGAACTCCTAGTGCCATTTTAACACGACACACTTGACCCAGAACAGGTTTGGTATAATGGTTTCAGACTTGTTGAATGTCCCCAGCAGTGCGAACACATCTACCTACCCGGGACCTCACATGTAACCAAATTATCACCACTAACCACCACCACCAACCAACTTCCCCATTTGTGTGTGTTGTATGGCAGCCCCGTTTGATGGGCCCCTTGTTAAAAATTGTATCATTGCATATTCAATAAAAACGAAGTAAAAATGAAAAGAAAAGTAACAGGTAAGTCCACGAACCACCGTTGAGCACTGTTGGGCAACGGTTCAAACGGTTCACACAATACGGCACAACTCGTCTTTGAACGTGTGTTCTAAATCATGAAAACCATCATGGGACTACGAACACATGTAGGATGTGGGTGAGAACAAGACAACCTACTGAGCGGAAATTTTCTCTGTTCTTCCTGCGTTCGACGAATCAGCCGGTTGCGTCACATCCACTCGGATTGGGTTCTTGGTCAGGACGGTTCGATCGGTCGAGACATAGGGGTGTTGATAGGTCAACTGAATGAGCACAGGCACTCGTGCAACCCCGACACGGACTAGAGGACTTCGGGCGAGGATTGGAGCGCAGTCACGACCGGGCAAAATCTGGGTCAACGAGGGCTGATCGAGCTGGACACAAGAACTGGTAGCATCGAGGTTGTACAGTGCAGCGGCCGAAGGAAGACAAATCTGTTTCGTCATAAAATAAACCAGATCACAGGGATATCACAAATCACAGAGATTTGAATGATAAGAAAACTTTATCAAGTGGCACGATGTGGATTTCATTGTACAATGGTAAAAAAAAACCGCAATACGCGACGGTTTCTGTCGACCACCTTAGATAAATTTATCGCCAATAATACTGTTAAGAACATCCAAATCACAAAGCAACATTCAGGAGATCGTCTATGTGAATCTTACATGTAGCGGCTTCCGAAAGCCTCGGTATGGTGATCGGGGGTGGGTGTTTCAGGTTGCAGTTGTTTGCCCTTCAATTGCACCACACAAAATGCTCCTATATGGCTAAGCGTCTTAACTAGCCTGTGCTGAGGAAGCCCTACTCACTGCCTTCTCATGCGGACGGAGTCGTTTTCCCATCAAAGCGGGAGGACGGAAAGCTAATATCCGGGGTTATAACCTGATTGGTGAACCATAGGCAGTTCACCGAGGGGAG